TTATTTGAAGGTAAGGGTTTTTGTGGTTTTGTGTCCCCTTGACGGATTATCAAAGAGGTGAGCCACATTGGAGTAAGAGTATAGAGGTCGATTTTCAATCCATGAGTCCATACAAAATAACTGTCAAACAGAATAGCCGAGAATAAAACGGAACTGCATTTTATTGAAGTTTTCTCCTAGCTTACCTAAATCATAATATTATAACTGGACACACAGCTAAACATTTTATGAACATTGTACGCGGTAGAATGCATTTAAATAGGGCTGAAATAGACAACTGATAATTCAAACGTACCTGAAAATTTAGTTTTAGTCCAATTTTGTCATTTTCAATCTTATATTCTATAGATATTTTATTTTGATGTTGCACTTATTTCAGCAATATTCTATAGCTTATGTGCTTAGAGTATACATTTTATCATATGTTCTTGTTTTGTTTTTTTAACATTCTAATTGTAGGATTTTTGGTTGGCGTATTTTAACGATAAAAATTGCAAATAGACTTCCGAAAGTTAGAATGAATCTACTTAATAATGGACATATGAAAATTATACCACTGAACTACAGTGCTAACTTAGTTCAGTCAAATGAAACATGTTACCTACCGTGCACCATCCGCGTACATTCCTATGAATTGCATGTAGTTGCGTACTTTGTAATCATGTATCAAATAAAAGCCAATGTTCGCACAAAAAAAAGTGGCCGCACTGTCCCAAAATGGCGTTCAGACATAGCAGATTGACGTTTTGACTTAAGTTAGTTTTTCGGCTACTGAGTTTCAGCATTTGGCTTAATTTTGCTAATTGAAGGCCATAATTGGGCATTTATGAAAGCTGGATAGTTAGGAAATAGTAAACATGAAAAAAAACGTTTTAAAAAAATTGGCCTGAGCAATAAAAAAAACACTAGTAAAGTACAGTTTTTCAAATCATTCAAATTAAAGCTAAAAATCTAGCGTCTTTTGTAAATAAACGGCCGAAAATAACGAAAAACGCTCTGCAATAAAACATCTGGAGAATACATATATCTTTCTAAAACTAATTACTTTTTAAAATATTAGAATTAGTTACATAGAAAAAACACATCGGCTCTGGTATAGCAGTCCTCTACCTCATCATTAAGTACTCATAAATGTTTAAGTTATAGTATGTCATAATGATTGTATTAATATTTGATTGTATTACCGAACAAATATTAATACAATATTTTAATTGTCAATTTTTCTTTTTAAACCTTTACCCATTTTGAAAACTCGATAGTTCGCTTTCCCTTGGGTTAGGAAAAAAAGGTTAAGTATAAAAATGTTAGATAATTTTAGGCTGTTTAAATTTGAATATTACCATTTTTTACCTCTGTTGATCTAATAAGGAGATATTTAGTGTAAATCAAAAAAAGTTCGGAATTTTAATGGTTTTTGGAGCACTGCAGCGAACCAACAAGGCATTCAATGACGGAAACTTGGATTTTTTATAGTCACTGCAAACCTAACAATATAAAAAAGAAGTTTGAAGAACCCCATCTTTTGCAAGGTAGATCCCTTTTTTTTTTTGTTCTAATTTGACTGGGATAACTGTCAGAAATCAACAACAACACTTCATGGTATATCCATGCTCTATTTACGGAAGAAGATAGAAGATTTATTTCATTGGAAGGGAAAAAATCTGATTGATACAATCGAGATTCATTTAATCGGGTCTCATTAAAGATATATTTTTTAACGCCACAGCGTTAATTTATTTTATTTTACACTTAACCTAGTTTGATTAATTGTTGATTCGTTTTATTTTAGCAAAGTGAAATCAGTTAATAATATATATATTTATGTATAAGATAGGTGTATATTGAGTATTATAGGCCCATAGCTTATATTGTTTATATTAAATAAATCAATAGTCTATACTTGGACTACTTTGTTATGGATTGTAGTAGCACTAGCTATAAACAAGTGCTAGGTTCAAGTCATAAGGCGGTAGAATTGACAAGGGACGGTCTGACTCTGCCCGCCACTGAGCTGAGTACTGCCAACTTCAACACTGCCCACTGCAGTTCTACTCTGAAGAGACGTACTTCTCTCGTCGTGCTCGCCGCTGCCCATTTGCAGTTCGTTTTGTGCACGCTCATTGAAGAGTTACAATTGGTTTCTGCATAGAGACAGAGGTTTACGCACGTCCTGCTTCGTCCACGTAACGTTGTACAATTTATTTATTTGTTATATATATATATATATATATATATATATATATATATATATATAAATTTCATATTGGGACTTTAGAGAAGTTTATTTTTATTTTATGAAGTTTAGTTTATGTTTATTTTATTTTTATTATAATTTGGGCCATAGAAATAGTTTTTATTTATGATCAAGCATGAAAATGTTTCATTAATATTGCCACAATTAATTGTTCAGCTGGTCTTTATTTTATGCTAGAAGTTTTGTAATTTTTTACCTATCTAACAAGTGTAAAATTGATTCATTTTGTTTTTATGTTTTCAATATTAGATTTCGTAAATGTTCCAAAATAAATGTTTGAAGATACAGTCCACTTTATTTTTTTTTATTTTTTTATTTTATTAAATCACAATTAAATAGTCAGGCTTCATTCGAAGTTTGACATAAACTAAGAGGGAGCTAACAATATTCGTATCCAAAGAGAAAATGTAATGCTGTAAATACCTGTGTTAAATACACTTCGTAGCAAGGAACTGAAAACGCTTGATTCTTTATAATAATATTGTTTGCGGTAACACTGTACTAGTGTCACTCAACTTTGATGAGTTGGCCAAGATCCCACGATCACGCTATAAATGGTATTCTGAGAGTAATCTACGATTAACGTGTTTACAATATTAACTCTCTTTAATAAGATCGCGATTTACGACTTCAGCAAACTCCCAACTGATCCTTATGAGAATACTTCATAGAAAAATTGTGTAAATGATCAACATAGATTAAAAATCGACAAAGTCATACTAAAGTATTGACAGCCGTAAAAAATATAAATAACATTCATTCCTCTCAAAACTTAAACTGGTTCTAATATGATTCTTATTAGTTCGATGGTGATAAGAAAAAAATTAATAATTATGAAAAACAGAAATCATTGTTTAGCCGCTTCAAAGTTCTCTATAAATGGTTTTATTAAAGACAAACTCTTCTTGCGTTTGAAGGATCAATATTGGCTCCATAACATTATCAACAATCATGACGTGCCTACCACCTCCGAAACGTTGACTGCTACTTATGCTGATGATACAACAATTTAAACACGACACCAGGTTAGCCTCACTGAATTTACAAAATCACTTACTAAATTTACAAAACACAAAATTAGATCAAATCTTGACATATCATAATACATAACATTTACACGAGGAAGAGACATATACCCACCTGTTCATATCAGGACAACCAAATTCCTCAGAAGGACACTGTACGTTACCTCGGGCCAATATTCGAAAGAAGGATGACCTGGAGCCTACATGTCAAACTCAGTGGACGCAAAATTTGATGCTCTACAATTTTGACTATATGAGTGTTTCTTCTAAGGAAACTCATTTCCAAGTTACAAGGCCATTTATAGTAATTTGTCTCAGTTTTTGACAAATTTGCTAAAAATCAGCGTTGGATTTTATAGCTTACCGAGTTACCAAATTATAAAGTTTATGTACTCGTTTGGCGCAAAATTTATCGTTCTTTAATTTATTAAAAAACGATAAATTCGCTTTGATGCATCGTTTAGGAGTTATAGGTGAAAAAACCAAAACATATCGAAAAAATCTGCCTTTTTTGACTGTAAAAAGTTTTCCTTTGGAGGTCCGCATGTCTAAACCCATATACAAAAGTTAAAAAAATAAAAACTTTTCTCACATTTTTAGCAATGGATTTCCCGTTTCGATCCTCAAATTTATGGCCTAATATTCTTTAAATCAGCAGCCACTATTGAAAGCAGCGGCTCTGGAACAGCAGACTACTTTCTTTTTATTCAGCATAACATAAACTTTCGTAATTTACAATCAAATCTTTGCCTGCGACTTCTGGGCCCCTGGCTATTACCACCTGGCTTTCTGGCTGCAGGGCTATTACCTACTCAAATCCATATGACTCAGAAATTTACGGTTCTGCAAAAAAAGACGCACTTACAAAAAAAAAAAATTACAATCCTTCCAATCCAAAATTTTTCCAAAATTCGGTGCTTAGCGTTTTTTTTTCAAACATTACAATTGAAGTGGAAATTAATTTAAAAAGAAATTTAGGTATTTCTAAATGTTTATTGCTGACCTCCATCTTAAACAGGACCCTTTTTGGAGTCTCTTTATTTTCGAACACCTCTAATTTTTCATGTGTCACTTGTTTTTAAAGTTTCGGGATCTATAGCCCATTATAATCGAATTATAGAGTTAAAATTTGTATGAGCATTACATTGGTGTTACTAAAGGGATTTTTGGGAATACCAGCTATTTTTCCCACCGATACTATTTTGTTTTTATTTTTGAGCATTAATATACCCCCATCTAATTGAGCAGAGATTGGTGACTTTTTTCTTCTACATCCCACATTTTGATAAATCAGATCCAGATACGATTTTTAAAATGTTAAAACAAACTCCTTTACTGTTACAGAAAGGTTGATGCTTTTGAAAGAAGAATATATACAAGCTTATTTGTTATATTCAAATATATTTATACAAGTGTAGATGGACTTTGATGTAACACTTTTTAGAAGAGCATCAAAGGAACTTGTTCTGTTTGTTTCATTACGAAAAAAAATATTTTCTTTTTCTTATAACTAAAATAATAACATCTAAAGTTCTGTCCGTCTTATTTCAATTGCAATTTTCAGGAAAAATCGGGAGAACTGATTTTATCTATCTTTTATTGTTGTTTAGAGCTTACAAATATTTTTAGTAATATTATACAGTTAGCTATATGAAATCTTGAAATAAAATTTTAGGTGAGCTAACTTTAGATTTTATGTCCTAAAACATGAAATAAGCAGCTAAGAAAATGAAACAAAACTATATTATTTTCAAATTGCAATTAATGCAATGGTGTTTTAAAAATTCATTCCAATTAATTCTGGGGATAGTAGTAATAGTCATTGGCACGTTGGTATCTGATATTGACAGTATTTGTCTCTGTATTATCGACATACAAGTAACTGGGAAAAGGAATTTCATCATTATTATCGACAACTTGAGTCGGTGATATAAGATTCAGGATATTCTGTGATATGGATCTAGATGGAGGTGAGCTGATTTCAATTTCGTATATATCTTGATCATTATCATAATCATCATCTGTATCATCGCAAAGGTCTGGACCCCAATCATACGAAAACTCTGGCAAAAATTCATCCATGACGTATGGAATACAGTTATATGGTGGAACATAAAAGGAATAATCTTTGGCTTGATATTCTTCTACAACTGGAGGAAGAAACTGAGGCTGAATAAATTCCATTTCAAATTCCCCATAATTCTCTTCTGAAGCAATGGTTGTGTATCTGGAGTCATTAGTTGATGTGCAATTATTATATTTCCTTCCAGACCGATTGTGGTGCATGTTTTAAAAATAATTTTCTGTGTTTACATTTTGTGTTTTGTACTGAAACATACATATATTGTTTTAAAATGAATTTTGCAATATAGAACCGACATGTAGTAACATTAATTACAGTAAAAATACAAGAACACATTTATAGCTAAAATATTATATAAGGTATGATAGTAACTAAACCACAATAATAAATTTTAACTAATTTAAATTTTAATGAAGTAATAATGATTTTATAGAAACGAATGTCACACTATAGTTGAAGGAATTGTCTCACGATTAACAAAGACCCTTTTTTTACTAAAGTGTTAAAAAATACTACCTATATGTCGTGGATGTTTCTTGTTTGAATCCTACAATCAGGAAAATGAATGCAATCTATTTTTCTATAGAAATGTATTTTCCCGTTAATAATTTATTTAATAACTTTTATTAGTGCCTTAACATAAATCTTTAAGGATATATCCCATATAAATGTTAGTTATTATAAAGTATATGCAGCATTTTGAAGTAAACAACTAAAGAATAAAGCACAAATAAATCCTCTTTAAGTTTGTCTCGGGAAGTAAATGAACTTTTGATACTATCGATCGTGTTTTTTTCAATACTATCGAACTATCGTTAGCGGTAAACTATCGACTATTGCCCATTTCTATGAAATAGTATAGGCCACACATAGGCTCCACGAATATATACGAATGGTCAAAGTTAATTTTCAAACCAGCAAAAACTTAAAATGTCAAATACAGCCTTTAATTGTAAAATGGTAGATTAAGAGACCCAAGTTTCATCTGATGGAAGATGTAGAAACAAATTGATCATATGGATCAACACATCACAGCGATGTTGAAGATATATGGTGCTATAAAGAAGCAGAATGCAGTAGTAGTCATTTTCAACTTAAGGCCAAATACAATCAGAAAGAATCAATCATACATAGAGGTAATGTGCGGAGGGAAAATAAAATATATAATCAAGAAGGCTTTAATGAACTTGAAAATTGCTCAAATATGCAAAGAAGATGAAAACCTCCAAAGTACAAAGTCGGATAAAAATAATGTTACCACCAACTGGCGCCAAATAAAAGAAGCAATCATAAAGACTTTAGAGGAGGTGATAGGGCTTCCGGAAAGAACCGAGCAGGGTGGTGTAATGAAGTACGTAGAAGAATATAAGCGTAAAACTGCTATAATAAAAAATATCTAGAATGAAGAAAAAGAAAGAGAAAGAAAAACTATATCAAGTTATGAGAAGGAGTTTGTTGTGGGCTGCGGTAAAATAAATACCAAATTTTAATAAATACTATTTTTAATTATTAAGCCAACGTTTCGACTCACCTTGCAGGTCTTTATCAGGGCGTGGCATGTGGCACTGTATGAAGCAGTTGATAGACTGGCAGTTGAAACAGGTCTAGTACACATACACACCTCTCGATATCAAGTCATGGTAGAGAAATACGAAAATAAAAACACAAATTCAAAAGGAAGAAGATGGACAGCTTGAACCATCAGACCCAGAAAAGGTTGAAGAAGTAATTTTAAAATTAAAAAAACAATAAGGCACCAGAGATAGATAGATAGCCGCAGAGAAGTTCAAATACGAAAAATAACATCTGCACCGCTAAATATATGAGCTAATGCTCGACATTTAGACAGAAGAAGAATACTAGAGGAATCGAATCTACCTATATTTGCCCCAATACATAAAAATTGGATAATTCGGAGGAATATTGCTCTCTTAAGTGCAGTTTATAAAGGCTCTCCGGATATAATATTCACCACTCAGAAGGGAGGGTTAAGACACTTGGTCATGTGCACTGAAAAAAGGGAAATAGAATGATAATTAATCCAGGAGGAAACTGAAAGAGAGAGAGGACAAGGTTCTGGTGGTAGGAAGATGTGGAGGAATATTGTGGAGGAGGACAGGGTTCTTCACGGGCAATAACGTTATGGGAGATAGGTATTATAAATAAACCACCTAAATACAGTATTAATATTTAATAATTTTGAAATGCTAACAGTTTAATGTCGAGTATTACTCTTAAATACTAATTTTATTTATATTCATCAGTTTATGAATACGACTTACCAGAATGCTGCTTCTCCGATGTTAAATGCCTTATTTAACCGTCACCGATCAGAACTATTCCAGAATACACACTAAAGAAATTTTCCATCTTTTATATAAGACCCCACTGACGAAATATTTCATGAAGATAGATTTTCGTAATTTTTTATTTATCTATTTTTGGTAATACAAAATGTATATTATTTTCGAATCATTTGTCAACTTGAAGAGACTAGCAAGCATGACCTTACAAAATATATTACATGATATATGAAACTGTATCCATAATTTAGATGACAGTTCACATGATATGTTTTATCATTATGAAATCTTAAATTGTCACATGATTAATTTATATAGTTAATTCAGTTTTAATATATTTTTTTTAAATATTGTTAATCGTAATATAATTTATTTAACGAAAAAGTTTTGGTGTAATAATATTATTTTTTTTATTTATGATATTTATAACTGTATTAAGAACAAATACAGTCAGTAAATGTGATAACCGAAAACAATAACATGAAAACACTTGTTGAGAAGCTGGTACTCTAAAAAAAAATATATTTACAATAGAAGATCTCGAGGCCTCGATCTTCTTTCGGAGATCTTCTTTCAGACGCCTCGAGGATTATCAGGGATCGAGGAGGAAGCAATGTTAGAAACGAGAGGGTTCGGATGGTTCCGAAGTTGCTGAAATGTAATATGTTTTTCCAAAGAAGTGTACTACATATTCCTCTCCACAAAAACTATATTTAACAATACCTCCGTTTTATTTGAATTTTTATTTATTTGATAAGATGTGGTTTCAAAGTTCATGTGTACTTTAAATTGTTTTGGCCGAATTTGCTTCTTTCTAACATTTCAGTTAAAATAAACCAGCTTCTCTTCTTTAGGAGAATGTTGTCAACCATCTTAGAACACACATAAGCATTCCCGATACATAACAAAGCTTTCCGTTATTTAATTTTTAAAAAAATCCTGTTTCAGTGTTCTTAATTTTCAAAACTGCTCTTTCAATTTGACCCAAGGGACGGAGAACATTCAAATAGCCTGGTATCAACTTCATCTTCGGATGTTGAATAATTTTTTAACCACAGAAATGGTGAGGAAGCTGGACTGATCATATCTGGCAGCCGTTTATTTTAATTATACTTGAGATGTTGATGGTGTCATTATGTTTTTTAGCAGCCACGTAAAACCAATATTTCATCGATTAGTCATTTCCAATGTCAAGGGGTGGTGTATTTCTTATGTCCTTCGTGGCAGGACACACATCAAGATGTGTTGATTTTCATGGGATAAAAGGGACACATCGGAATTTCCAACTATTGTTAGGTATTAGTGCCTTCATCGAGGAGGTGAAGACTTTGGGGCGTTAGTCGCAGAGTGTCCGGTTCTGAACCATGTGTTTTCGATTCCCACCATAGGCTCTTAGTATTTATTTCTCCGGGGCCTCGAGAAATGAATTTTGACACTTTTATTCAACGAGGTGGCAATCTCAAAGCCAGGGGTTAGCAAAAAGGACCAGAAGACCCAATAGCTGGAGTAGTTCTCTCCACCAGCAACAGTGCTATTGCCAGTAGTGGCTTTATCAGACACGTCATGAAACTTTTTGCTTCTCATTTTATTTGACGAAGACTCTCTAAAGGAGAAATTAAATCAGATAAAGAATTCAGTAAATATTTATTAGACAATGCCCCTGGGACTTCAGTACGTAAGAACGAACAAAACTGATTTTGATGAAATTTGGTACCCTCGCCACTTATAGACCACAGTTCCTTTGTAGTTAATCTATATGAGAGGGGAGATTCATCATCACTTTGAAGATTCCTCGAAACACGAAATGAAATTGATTTTAGAAAATGTAATTATAATGAATAATAATTTATTACATAGGAAAGTGAAGAAATACATTTAAAAGATTAGTTCCAACAACCAAAAAGAATTTTGGTGAAACTTTGTGCAATATTCGTAGGTGAAGTTCAGTGAAATTTTTACTTTTCTAAGAAGTAACATTAGTACAGGCCAAATATGATGCAATTAATATTAATTAAATGACAGGACAGACGCTTATGAATATCGGATATTACTATAGACAGACACATACACAAAGCGGACTAGAGAGAGGAGGCTGTGTGGGTTGAGTGGAGCTTTGTATGTGTAGGGAACTAGGGCTAAAGATAAGAAAGGGCTGCTGGAGGTGAGTTCTTGAATCATCACAATGGCACCTATTCAATGGTTAATCTCGTCGCCGATCCTGGCTTCATTGTCCCGCTATATAGAAAAGCTTTTGGAACGCCTGGCATCATCAATAGCGCAATGTTACAATACAATCGCGATAATGTAGCGGGGGGCTCGGGCCCCATTCCTCCTCCCTCACTGCCGTATAACCCCTTTATAACACCCCCACAGCATCCCTGTCCCATCAGGTGAGCTTTTAGGGCCTACCTCACACCAGCCATTGTCTTTATACTAATGAACCTGCGGCATCCCGCTTTTCTGTTTTCTCTACAGCAAACATTTACAAAACGTAGCTAAATTAAACATTTTGTACATAATAAATTGCATTTGGAGTGTTTCTAAATATATATATACTAAATGAACAGTTGGGTGTAGAACATGTCAAATAGTTGAAGGTTTGTATAAATAATATTACATTCATGAAATAAATGTTGGATACTTTGGTAACTGAAAAGAAGTACTTAAAAACTTGAAAGCCAAAATCATCTAAAGTTCTTTTATTTGGCTTGGCTTGAGTAGAGAATTACTTTTACTTAATTACTAGCATTTAAGATTCTCAACCCAATTTTTCTAGCTTCAACTTATAAATAATAAACAACAGAAATACAATGGTTCAATACATTAGTAGTTCAAGATTTAATTTTGGGGCTAGGTAATATATTTTTTTTTATCGGTAATTATAATGATAGAAAAATTAAGAAACTGATAGTATAATGTTTCAATGGTTCTTGAAAGCCTAAAAAATATAAAGAGATATGTTTTTATATTTTTTTCTGATCTATGCATAAATTTAGCACCTGAAATATGTTTAATTTTAAAAAGTACTGATTTAATTGTTTAAGTATTTAGCTCAGATAACTTACGGAAACAAACACGGAACAATAATAAAAATATATTCTTCCATTTTTGGGGGCTTTCTACCCTAGAGCCCTATCCGCCAGTGATTCGACGTACTGGTGGTATAAGAGGATGCACACTGGACCAAAGGAAATTCTAATTTTCAAGTATTTTCTTGTCACAAAAATTTGTATATTTTCTTGAAGCCAGATAGCTGATGAAATCAACAAGGAATGATTACTTTAAAGATGTTTCTCGTAATGAAATTGAATTCCAAAGTTGGTTTTCTTGGGAGAGTAAATTTGAATGAAATGTGATAACGATTTATACTAAATTATAGCTCAAAGGAAAAGACAAAGTCTAAGGAAATAACAGCGCAGAATACTTATTGTGATCCCTATATGTACAATTTTTGCACTAACACTAATTCTCGATCGGAGTAAAAGGGTTTAAAAAATTCATTCCTTTAGAGTTATTTTAGCATTATTTTTTTTACCTAATTATTTAATATCTAATTTTGGATCCTGAAGCAACCGTCCATTTTTATCTCATATTGTCACTGGGATAGTAGTAAACATGTTCAGAGACAATTTAGCCGCGACTATCTGCGATCACATTTTTGATACAATTTTTTTGTTATTTTTGTCGAACTTAATTGCTAAGAAAGCTCTGATAATAGTATTTTAAACCTTAATTACAGTAATTAATCAATGTGAAACCTATTAGAAATTTATTTATATTTTCTACATGAGTAATTGAGTACATTGGTTCAGTTAGGACCCTTTCTTTCTAAAAATCTTTACTTTTTATTCGGGTATGGACATTAGTAAGAAAAAATTAATCGATTTTTAATTATTATTTTTATTAACTTAATTGTGATAGGTGCATATTAAAATAAGATAGAATTATGTAGTGGAAACGTACTTATCAGAGAAACTAAACTTGAACGTGTGGTGAGATTTTCAGGAGAAACGTTTAACCATGAGTCCCTCAAAATGGTAAATGTGTTTGTGAACTGTCTAGCTCCAAAACGATAAGTCGTACGAAACTTAAATTGCGTATTTGAGGTTTATATATGGTTCGAATGTGACAGCAACGTTTTCTTTAAAACCGGAAGTGCCACTTTATATCAACGGTGATACACATATTTACGATTTTCTCGAAAACGCCTCTAACTATTTTGATTAAACTCTGTATATCAGTGTATTATTAAGTTGTTTTTAATATCAGTTAGGTCTTATCCACATTGATGTCACTTCAAAGGGCTTAAATGCCTAATGTTACATCTTCCTCAAAATTACCTTTAATTTGATTTTTTTTTTTTTTTTTTTTAATAATTATCTCTTATTGAACGTAACTATACAAAATGGCTAAATATAAGTTTTGAAAGAATTTGATAATTTAATACAGGAGAAAACAGCAAACATACTTATTTAGCTCGAAAATGAATCTCTGGAAATAATAGCCAGAAGATATACATATAATATATCGTTGGAAAGCGGAGAATTTTATAAAAAATAATATCTAATAAATAAAGTTTTAGAAGTTAACGGAGACTTACGGAAAAAATATAAATAATAATAATTAAATTTTACATTATTTAACGTAAATCACATGTTTTCAAGGAAATTAAATGAAATTTTGTTTCTAAATGTAAACTTTAAAATTTTTTTTTAAGTTTGACAAAAAGTATTTATAATCAACGAACTCAATTCAATGGCAATGATACTATTTCATTGTACTTGTGTGAAAGAAAAAGTTAAACATAAAAATATTTCATGGAGCTATAATAACTGTGGGTGTTTAATAACTCCAAACCTAATATTATATTTAAATAATTAGGTATTCCGAAGCTATCATCCGTTTATTCCGAAAAATCATCAAGTAACCTTTTAGAAAATTAAATAAGTGAATAATTTTATGAATTTTCCTATTGTGATATCCCAACAGTATCCACTTACAATTAGTGTGACAACTTTTGATCTATCTGTGGTAGACAATACAAATATCGTAATTCCATTTTAGAAAACTTTCAAAGGAAAATAATAGTTTAATAACTAATAGTCGTACAATCCATAATCAACCATTAATATAATAAAAAGTATCCTTGTTATTTTAATAGTATCAATGATTTGTTAGCTTTAAGCTTTAGCTATCAAAAATTTTATAATAGCCCAACATTACCAGAAAATAATTTCTATCCAAAGTATAGCGAAGTAAGCAAAAATTGGGTGTTGCGCACACCAGATTTT